CCCGGGCCTCTGACTCCCGGAGCCGCGTCTGCCGCTCCGAGCCCAGGCAGAAGGCGCCGGGTGTAAAGGCGGGAGGGATGGCTGCCCTGGGGTGGGGCCTGGGGCTGGAGGAGGTGAAAAGGAGGAAAACAGCTGCCAGGCGGTGCTTGGTTTTGCACCTTCGCCGTTGAGAAGCCGTATTTGTCCGGGGAACAGGCCGCTTGCTGTGGTGAACCGAGGTGTGTGAGTTTCTGGGGACAAAACTAGCGTAAATATGGGAGCATTGGGGGAAAACAGGGCGAGGGAGATGGCTGACCTGACTGTGGTTGTGAATAGCAAGACGATGAGGATGGGGAGGGAGAAGATGATGCCGAAGTCCAGCAAGAATGCCTGAAGAAATTTTCAACTCCAGATTATATAATGGAGCCGTCTATATTTAACACCTTGAAGAGGTGAGTGTAACCTTATGTGTGTTACAGGTGCAGTGTTGACACTTTTTATAGAGTTATATGTGAAAATGTATAAGTGATGCTATCATTTACAATACAACTGGCAAATAGTTCCTTTCCAATCCCTTCATCAGGTATTTCCAAGCAGGAGGTTCTCCAGAGAATGTTATCCAGCTCCTCTCTGAAAACTACACAGCTGTAGCACAGACTGTAAATTTGCTGGCAGAGTGGCTCATTCAAACAGGTATGATAACTAATACAGTATAATTTGGGTCTGTAGTGTTTGTTTTGTCAGAAATAGCTGAATCGGTGGCAAATTTGATCATACTCAGTAAGTGTTTCATCGTAAAGTTGTCATTCTCTATGCGTATGTTTGGATCTTGTGTGGATCATCATAAAGTTGTCATCCTGTGTGTATCCTAAATTCTTTATAATAATTTATTCTGCTTGGATAACAAGTGAGGTAATCTGTTGATTAACATTTTGCAGTGCTCACGAGCTGTATTATCAAGAGTAATATGATTGAAGCAACTGCCGAACTATAGTTCCTTTTTGTCTTTATGCACAAGTGCAAGAGTAGTGCCATGTGCATGGTGTTAGCAGTATTTGATGTTTTTTTAATAGTAGTATGTAATTAATATTGTAGAAACCACTTCCCTTAATACTAGTTACTATTCTCTTTCAGTGGACCAGTGGTTAGAAGGGAGATTTTCATACTGATGTGTTATGATGTGCTCATGAAGTCTTCCCCAGCCTCTTGCAAGACATGTTCAGCATTGTCTTGTGTTATCTTTGTCTCTTAGCTGGTATACCTTTTGTTTACAGGTTACCAGAACTATTATACTCTGATCTCAAAAGTGTAGAAGTACTTATTACTACTTCCTATAGTATGCTTCTAGTATACTATCAAAGCTATTGATAGCAAGTGTATTAAAATGTTGAACTTTAGCCTGTAGTAAGGAGGGTTTGAGCGTCACCCCTGGTAATCTCTTTTGTGCTTAAGATATGTGTATTTTGGTGTCAGGCCCAATGACAGTCTTGTGAGATGACTGGCATTGCTGTTTGCATAACTGATGAAGAGAAGGAAAAAGTGTGGCCTGCCTGTGATCCTGGACAGTCTGCATTTAGGGAAAAAGATGAAGGATCTGTAAATCTGTATTGGTGTGGCTTGATAGTAGAACTGATGGCTCTCCTCTCATCTTCTCTGTGTTGATAGATTTCTAAGTAGTTTCTGTTCTCATTGGAAAATTTAAGATGTTGCTGCTGTGTTTGATTGGATTGCATCTGCCAAGTTTTTTGTTCCCTCTACACAGGTGTTGAGCCATTGCAAGTTCAGGAGACTGTAGAAAACCATTTAAAGAGCTTACTTATCAAGCATTTTGACCCTCGGAAAGCAGATTCCATCTTTACAGAGGAAGGAGAGGTGTGCATGGAATCCGTGTTGCTATCTCTACACGAGTGGATCCTACATAGATGCCTTCATCTGATGGAGTAGTAGATGGTGGGGGAAGGGAAATTGCATCTTCAAAGCTCTTTGGTTAAGAAACATCTGGTTTGAGAAAACCAGTTGTCTCACTGGAGTCCTCCGAGGCTTAGCAAACACAGAGAATTTGAATGCATCCTTCTTTGAAATAAAGTTCTATATAACAACTCGCAGGACTCCTGAGAGGTAAAAGGCTTACTTTTAATGATCCTGACAAACAGATATTCCTACATTTCTCTCTGTTGCTCTAATCTTTTTCAGACTCCAGCCTGGCTTGAGCAAATGATAGCACATACTACATGGAGAGATCTCTTTTACAAGTTGGCAGAAGCCCATCCTGACTGTTTAATGCTTAATTTTACTGTGAAGGTAGTGTACTCAAGTCTAGTAAATGAGGATGCCCATAAAGGGCTAATTGTTCTGGCATTAAATATTGGCTGTGGTCTTTCCTGTACTTTATGTACTCCTACTAATACTGGTTATTCAAATGTCAGACCAGTACATGTACACGTTGGTGGGAGGAATTGTGCTACAGGCTGCAAGTAGGAAGTGTCATTTCCCAGTTTTTGAGGGGTTTGTTGGTTCTTTTTTGGAGGGGAGAGTAGGGGAGGTCCTTTAATCTGTGTTTGAAAATTCTGGATTTCTGGTGCTGTGGAATATTTCAGTCAGTTTTGTATGTTTCTGTGACAGGGAAAGAATGTTGTATTTTGCTGGGCTCTGAAATATTTTTGTATCTTTATGGGGTTTTTTTACTTTGGTTTTACTGCAACTTTATTGGTCTCCCTTTCTGTAGTCTTTTTAAAAGGTGAATGTGAATTCAAGTAAGTGCATGCAGACTAATCTTATGTTCTGTGTGTTCCTCTAGACTTGTTAGGATATCTGAAATACAAATAATGTAAGGTAAATAATACAGTTTTTCTGTGATGTTTTTGTTTGTACAGCTTATATCTGACGCTGGATATCAAGGGGAAATAACCAGTGTTTCAACAGCATGTCAGCAGCTCGAAGTATTTTCTAGAGTCCTGCGTACGTCTCTGGCAACGATTTTAGATGGAGGAGAAGAAAACCTTGAAAAAAACCTCCCTGAGTTTGCTGTAAGTTTTGCTTTTAGGTTTGTTTGTTTTGGTTGGTTTTGTTCAATTTAAATGTGGAAAGAAAATGTTTTCCTCTCTGGTTAGGATATAGAAATCATTACAAGATTGTAGAGAATCTTGACATCAAGTCTTAGAAAATCCTGTGAAGAGAAGGTATATCTGCATTTAAAAAAAAAATAAAATTATGCTTCTTGATGTTTCCAAGGCCAAGAATTATAAACAGGTGAAGGTAAAACTGTTGTTAGCATTTAATGCAAGGTCTACAGATCAGTCTAGTCAGTCCCCTGCAAATCAAAACAATTTTTTCATCATCTACATTGGTGTGAAAGTTGCCATCTGAATCAACCCAGCATATGTTGTGTGTGGTGAAATAGCACCATGACAAACTAAGTTCTCAATTTAGCCATTTCTTCTTGCACAACATCAATGCATAGTGATACTGTGCTTCTCTGTGCTTTCTTCTTGGCTCTTGGGTTCTTGGTTTTCTTGTGGTTGGTAGATTTCAGTGAAATCTTTGCTGTTAGGGCAGTGTAATCACAGAAACTTACCCGCCTGTTTCTCGTTGAGTGGTAAGACCTTTTGCTGTCTGCTCTTACAGAAGATGGTGTGCCACGGGGAACACACGTACCTTTTTGCTCAGTCTATGATGTCCATGTTGGCTCAGGAGGAGCAAGGGGGGTCGGCTGTCAGACGGATTGCTCAGGAGGTTCAGCGCTATGCTCACGAGAAGTAAGTGGGAGTTGTGTTATCCGTCAAATGTAGCTCAGAGGAATTTGTGGACTGCTGGTTTTTGCTCATTCTTCATTATCGTTTACCAGAAGGAGGAGACTTAGCTCCCACAGAGCAGTTCTTGTAGCAATCTTTAATTCACAGAACAACAGGAAAGTTCTGTGTTCTGTACTGGGAGACCTGAAGGCAGAATAGCAAAGGACAGAAGTTTCTGTCGGTCAAAAAATTACATATTTTTATTATTCTACCAACATTTTAGAAATAAACAAGGGAAAATACAGGCCCGTTTCTGTAATTGCTCAGGATAAGGGGTTCTGCCCTAAGGCATTATATTCCATAGCATGTGCCCTGTTGACTCAGTGGAGATGAAGCTACAATGTCCAAACTGAGGAATTATGTTCCTGTGTATGTTTGCTTTTCACCCAGGGGCCACGATGCCAGTCAGATCACTTTAGCACTGGGTACTGCAGCCTCCTATCCTCGAGCGTGTCAGGCCCTGGGTGCCATGTTGTCCAAAGGAGCTCTGAACCCAGCCGATATCACTGTCCTGTTCAAAATGTTTACAAGCATGGACCCACCTCCAGTAGAACTGGTTAGTAGTTATCTCTTTATAACCTCCAAAACTTAATTCTGTTAAAGGAGCACTCAGAAATCTGAGCTCTTGTAGTGCTAAGTGTTGTATTGACATAAAGTAGAAGTTAGCACTCAAAGTCGTCCCTCTATAATTTTAAGTAATGCCTACATGTGAAACTGCTACTTGTATTCAATTTGGTGTTAGCTTCTTATTTTTTTAATCAGCTCAAGTTGCCTTTTTACTTAAATTAAAGAACTCTTAATAGGAAATAAAGATGGCAAAGAATTAATTAACTACTTTTAATAAAAAGTAATCTTAAAAAATCCCACCTGATATTTAGCAATTTGTAATAAACAGGCCTAAAGGGCACATTGCCCTTTGCACATGTTTCTCACTGCCCTGTTCTAATGTGGGTTCTGGCAACAAATGGTGGCACTTAGATACTTTAGCAGTATAGTCTGTACCTCTGTTTTCTCCCTCTTTCCCCCCTCCTCCCCCTCATTCTTCTTTCTTTTCAACTTCTAAAATTTTGGGACTCTTCTAAAAACTCTCTAACCTACTCCCAAAGGCCACTGTGTTATATCTCATTCTATGCAAAGTCTATCCAAGCTGTATTTTTAGTCCCCTCTCATAATTCTCAGGCTCTAATAAACCATTCCTTTTCTTTATAGATTAGAGTACCTGCCTTTCTGGACCTCTTCATGCAGTCATTGTTTAAGCCAGGTGCTAAGATCAACCAGGACCACAAGCATAAATTTATTCACATACTGGCATATGCAGCCAGTGTAGTAGAGATGTGGAAAAAGGTAATGTTCAGTTCTGTTAATAACATTATTTTTACCTACAGTGGCCTTACTGTGCTGGAGAAAGTGCATGGGCAGTTGTTCAGTTTGAAATAATGTGTTCAGCTTGATTTATTTATTTTAATTTGAAATGTTTCTGGCTTCAGCTGAAATGACTAAAAATGTTGAACTTGTTGATGGAATAGTACTATAAAAGTCAGAGTGCACTGAGTATTTTTGCTGTCTTCCTCCACCTCCCTCCAAAGGTTATCAGCAGCAGTTCTGTGCAACTAGAATCATGTGTCCTTTTTCAGAGAAAGAGGAATTCAATTCTGTGAAGCCAATAAAATAATTTGTAGGGAATTACAAAAAGCAAACATCCTTGTACTTCAGCTCATTTATAATTAGTTCTTCTAAAACTTGCATTTGAGTCTACATTTGCAGAAACATGATGTAATCTTACACTTACTGTGGGTTGCAATTCCTTTCCTAAAATAACCAAAGACATCCAGTATATTCACACCTTTTGCATTCCAACTTTGCAATTTTTCAGAACAAAAGAGTCAGCATAAACAAGGATGAACTCAAGTCAACTTCAAAAGCCATTGAAACTGTTCACAATCTGTGTTGCAATGAGAACAAAGGAGCATCAGAGCTGGTTGCAGAACTGAGCACTCTCTATCAGTGTATCAGGTGAGCAGAGGCTGGTCCCAAGCTTCAGTTGTTGGAAGGAAAGTATTACTTAGGAGAGGCAGCATTGCTAAAGGGGAATGCCTTTGTGGGCTGCTCTGTGAGAACATTATTTTAGAATACATGAAGGTGTGGTCTGAAGTCGCTTTCAGAACTGTACATCTGACTCTCTGCAGTCTCTCTCAAGAGGATGTAAATTCTGGCTTTCAGTGCCAACTTGTCGTCCTTGTGACACACAAAACATGCTTTTCTCTGCCACTGGAAAAAGATGACAGTTTTACTTTGTCTCCTTAAAAGCCTTCCTAGCAATAGGTGTGTCCTTTTTTTTTCTCCTTTCCAATGTATGAAGTAGCAAATATTGAATTAACTGGAACAAATTTGGAGTGTACATGATTTTTTTTTTTTTGCCTATTTTTTGCATTTTGTGCTGAGTAGGGAGTGTCTTTGTAGAAAGAATTATTCTTCCAGCATATCTCTCTGGTTTTTTTCTTCCTTCTCCTTTCTTGATGAAAACTACTCAATCTGCTGCCAGCTTTTCAAGCAAAACTTGCTGAACGTTATGAATTCTGCTGTAACTTAAACTGAAACTCTAGCAGCCATTAGAATATACTGAAAGATGTGTTTTGTTTAAATTTAGTGGGAGTTTTTGTTCAGCGTTTGGAGGTTTTGGTTGGCACTGTTTTTTTTAATGTTCCTGTTGTGTAGGTTCCCAGTGGTAGCAATGGGTGTGTTAAAGTGGGTTGACTGGACGGTGTCAGAACCACGGTACTTCCAGCTGCAGACTGATCACACTCCAGTTCACCTGGCATTATTGGATGAGGTAAAAGTTGTATGTAGAAGCTTGCTGGAGGATAAGAACAGTTTTCGTGCTTGTAACTGGAAGCACATCCAGTGCACTGAATGCCTGTTGTTTGCAGTCAGTCAGTGAATATGCAGGGATGAATCTCTTTCTATTCAGAGTTAATTATTTGGTTTTGTCAGCTCAGCATTATTTACACTAGGAAAACTTAGGCATCAAAGAAAGAAATAGTGGAATACTTTTCTAAAAATTTTATCTGGCACTGAACATCAGAGTAAACTTGTCTAATAAAGACAGCTGTGTTTGGTTTTTGAATGGAAGTTCTGAGGATCTAACTTTCCTGTCTTGTTTGCAGATCAGCACATGCCATCAGCTGCTTCATCCCCAAGTTCTACAACTTCTTGTCAAGCTCTTTGAAACAGAGCATTCACAGCTTGATGTCATGGAGCAGGTGATTCTCTGAGGATTCAGTATTTGTGTTCCTTGATATTGGTTGCACTTATTCAAGGTAGTAGCTTTTGCTGTCACAGCAGTTTTAAGAGTTTAACTTTGGAATATGGGCATGCTTAAAATCTAACATAGCAGATATTGAATCAGTAAGAATGAGCAATAAAAGCTGCACACTTTTGAGAGGGAGTTCTAATCTGTTGGTTCCTCTCTCCCCGTGCCATCAGCTGGAGCTGAAGAAGACTCTGCTGGATAGGATGGTGCACTTGCTGAGCCGAGGGTACGTCCTGCCTGTCGTCAGCTACATCCGCAAGTGCCTGGAGAAGCTAGATACAGACATTTCTCTCATCAGATACTTTGTTACAGAGGTCAGCACCAAACATTGTGTTTACTCACCTACAGAAAGAAACTGTAACATCAGTTTTATGTGTTTGGATATTGAATCAGCTTGCCTCAGGTTCAGAAGTATTTCAGGATAGGAGGTCAGATTCTGAGCAATGTGTATAATACCAGTATTCATTACGATTTGACTTAGTCCTACTGACTAGATACCAAAATAGATGATTAATTATTTATATGGTGAACAAGAGGTCTTAAGTGCAATTACTTGTATCCTTTCAAGACTGGTATTGTGAATTAAACATTGTCCCTACTATCTCTAGCCACTAGAGTAATCTGTTGCCTGCTGTTTCAGGTGCTCGATGTGATTGCTCCTCCATATACCTCTGACTTCGTACAGCTTTTTCTTCCCATCTTGGAGAATGAGAGTATTGCAGGTACTATTAAAACAGAAGGTGAACATGATCCTGTCACTGAGTTTATAGGTAAGTCATATTTATTCCTTGCACACATGCTTCCATTTGTATTTGTTACAACTTGAAAATAATGTTTAGGAGGAGGATTGCTAAAAATAGGAATGCTGCCAAATATTTTCACCCATAACTTCCCTTTTAGGGCCCTGTGTTTAGCAATTTTCCTTCAATCAAGAATCCCTGGCTAGTAGTGAGGAATTTGAGACAAATGCTGCTTTTTGAGAACTAGTACTGTAGTAAAGAAAGGATAGGAAGGAAAGTAGGCTGCCATAATACACTCCTATCCTAAAAGAGAAACGTCTGTCCAGACCCTAAAGTCCTAATTGTTTACATAATGCAGAAATCCACATGCAAACAGATAAATCAGAGTAAATTTTTTTTTTCTTTTAAGCTCATTGCAAATCTAACTTTATTATGATGAACTAAGTGGTGGAAGATGTCAAGAATGCAGAGCACATGATCACAACTTTGCCATACTCTCCAGACAGTAAGGTTCTATAACTGGGCAACACGGCAGCAAAAACCACCCCAACAAAACCAAAACAAGGAAGAAAGGGCTGAAGGGCATTTGACTGACATGCATGGTGACCTTGAGCTTCATATCAGAGGACTTTTGATGTACTTTGGAAAATGGAATAGCACTGAAGGATTTTCTCTTGTTACACAGATCAGTATAAATCTGAATATGCTGAAGGGGACAGAGGGGAGAAATGGATTTGTCAGAGAATGTTGTTCTGGTTACATGCAGAATGTGTTACTGATTTTTTGTATAATGCACCAAACCTGAAGAATGGGGAAGGTAGTTCCTACAAAGCGCTTTGCAGGTAGTTCTCTGAAGACAAGATCTTGAATGCTCTAGGGTTTGATGTTGTGAGTTTAAACAAAGGAATTTGTGTGATTAGCTCTGTGCTGCAGAGAAGCCACACTGCCTCTTTCTCACCTTTGCGTTATACTAGAATTTTAAATAGCCTACATCTTTACTGCTATAAATAAAAACAACTGTTTTGTGTAACACAAGTGGAGTTGCAACAACCAAAGTTAATTTTGTATTAATAGATGAATCCTATGTGAGTGTATTATCCTTCAGAATCTATTTTTTGTTAAATAGATGCATCAGATGTTACTGGTAAGTTTCATTACCATGTCAGAACTCTGCTGCTGTCCAAAACCATGAATGTGTGCAGAAATTTCGTTACTGCTTGGTTTTTATACTTACCTCTACTCTATCATGGTTGATGCCAAAGAGTGGAGGATACACCCAAGATTATAATTTACCTTTAAATAAAGTGTTTTTTCTTTTCCAGAGATGACTTTCAAAGTTTCATTAAGGCTACTCTTTCTTTCTGTTCTTTGGTATGGATTTCTCTTTTTGTTTGTTTAAAAAGTGAAGGGTATTGAAAAGCCCATTGTGCTTTCCTGAGCCCATCTGTTTTCTGAAGAACCTGCTTTCTAAAAGGCACTGACATGTTAAATCCAACTAGATGTAAGTTCTGTCAGCAATTTGTACATGGGCAGAACGTTAAGCTGCCATGATAATTCTTGAGACAGCAACCAGTTGTATAGATGGTTGTTGTTATTGTAAGGAGTGCATCTTCCCTTTCCTCAGCCAGTCCCTCACATACATACTCCACAGTGACTGGGCTTCCCACAGTAACACTTATCAACCTGAGAATGGCAAAACTTGCTTCTGCAGAAGCTGTTCTGAACTAATTTGCCCATCTTAGATGTACTAACATTCCAGCTAACACACCATTTCAACTTGCATGAGACCTATTTTTCATATTTTAAGTAGAATTAGCATACAAGCTTGGCTTTTTTAGGCTCTACAGAAACAATCTGCACTATAGATCTTCATTTTAGGATGTAGCATTCTATCATTTAGTGATAATCAAGAGCAGTTTGTTCCTGTGTCCATTGCAAACGTGCCAGCTGTTTAAACAGGGTGTGCTTCTGTTTTCTTGGGTGTTCAAGCTTGGTATTGCTTCCTCTAAACAGGCTCTTTAGAGGGTCTTACCCATCCAGATGACTTTTAACTAGTTAAAACTTCCATGCTCATGTCATACTGCCCTGGAACTTGAGTTACAGCAGGTGCTGCAGGTTGGCAGAATTAATCCTTGTTGGTACTATGGAGTCATTTTGCTAAGCAAAGAGGTGGAATTTTCTTTTGCCTGGTTTTAAATGAGTATTAGTGTCTCTCATTCACCTCTTAATGATTAGAGTATGATTCTTGTATGTAGGAAGCCAAAGTTAGGCCCCCAAGAAGAAAAGTTAGTCTGTTGAGTTTCTTAGACTACTAGAATATGAGTGAAGTGTAATTCACAAGTTAGTTTGATGTATGGTAGGTTTTGGGGATTAGCATTTAAAAGTGGTATTCTACAACATCTGAATGTCTCTTCTCATCCTTGAAGTTGGATGCTTCCTTGTAGCTTGTATCTTAACCTCCAGTGTAGGTAAAGGTAGTTTAACTTTACTTGTTACTTGGAGCAGTGTAGTTGCTGTATAGACTGTTCTCAACCAACCCTTTAAGAAGAAAAAGGCCAGCAAAAGCAGCACCAGCTGGGGTAAGCTTTGGGTGACTGCTCTTATCATAGGACACTCCTTGCTGGGTACAACAATAGATGATGACTGAAAACATCTATTAATAAGCTCTTACAATACACACATAGTCATATAAAAGTTCATTTATTAAATGCAATTAATGTCAGTTAGTAACACTTGATAGGGTACTGATTAGCCAGTTAGCTTTAAGGAGCAGAATTTGCTTCCTTCAAATTAGTGAAGAGTTCAGGGTTGTGCCAATTTATACTTTCCTTTGCACAGCCAATCACATATTAAAGCAAAGGACTGGAGCAAAGACAAGACTAAATAAGCAGCATTTAGACTTTGTCTTTTGATCAAAGCAATTCCTGTTACATTATTTAAGTTGGATAAAAGCAACTGTGTTACATAAGACTTCCAACAACACTTGCACCAGAGGCCAAGGAAACAACAGGGCATTTAGTTTTTGAGTATATCACATCCAAATTTAGCCTTGTTTTTCCATCTGCACCATTGTAAAAATGGTAATTGCTCAGTACCATTAAAAATTTTAATATAATGTCTAGACCCAAATATTGAGTGTAGTTTTCTTCCCAGTATGTCTACATAATTTGTATTTAAAAAATATAGAGATTTACATATACAGTTTCTGTGATTAAGTCAGTATGGTTTAAATACCATGCATCAAGGCAGATAATTTTCATGGGTAGATTACTTTTTTAAAGTTGTAAATAATCTAAAGGCAGCTCTTTGTTGATTTCTACTTTGAAGACATTGTGTGTTGCTTTCTGGGCTAATTTTGCAGAACTGCCTGATGGTGCTGAACTGTGAGAGTTTTAGACTACTAAACAGAAAGAGGTTGTGCTGGGAAGCCTCCCAGGTAGTTCCTAAACAGAGAGACACACACTGTAGAATCAAGGCAGTACAACATCTCCATATGCACAGTCCTCTTCAATAGCAAGATTGTAGTCTGCTCCTTTTCCACCTTTATATGCACTTGTCACAATTCTCAGCCACCCTCTTTCACCCTGTAAAGAATTAAATGAATTGGAAAAATAACTAGAAAATGTTACACTTCATCCTGAGTGAACTCCTAGATTGGTTTATAAACTGTCTGAAGAGTGTACACTGGTTTCATAGGGCAGCCTTGCTTAAAGCAGCAGTGTGCTCTGGGGAAACTGACATCCCCCCTCATCTATGCCAGGTCCATGACTTAGTTTCTGCCTACAGCTAACAGTAACTTACACTTGCCCAAAACATGAGCTGCATGTCCATGGAAGGGGGCAGCATTTGGGATTACTCAGGTAACTGTCTGAATAACCTTGTCTTCAGCTTAGTTAAGGTTCGATTTAACTGCTAGTCTAGTTCAAAGTAGTTTCACTTTTCCTAGCCACAGGCTAGCTTTGAAGCCTCCTGTCTGCAAGTGAAAAACTGCACCCTGCCTCTCATGTCATCCTGCAGGCCTGTTTGTTCCTGTGTTTCCTTACCCAGGGCTCCCCCCAGGAGTTCCGCACAATCCAGTATTCTGTTCCGTTCTCCACACCCCAGCCAGCCACGGATACAATGTGATTCACCACAGGGGAGGGGTTGTACTCTGTGTAGAGTCCTCCCATGTAAGCATCCAACTTCTCAGTAGCCATTATGCCACAGCTGTAGTAAAACAGGAGAAACATGGGGTTTTTATACAAGGGGAACTGGCCAGAGGCCTGGCTAAAAACCAGTTGGTTTTCTTACATTTTGACTTCAAAGCTCAATTTATCTACAAACAAGCTAAAGTCTGCACACCAGTGCAGAGCTGCTAACATAGGCTAGGGTGGTGAAGTACACTTCAGTTATTGGCCCTGAGTTTCACATACCACAATCCCAGTATTACTAGCAGATACACATTTTCTTTTTTACCATTCAAGATACTTTTTTTTTTTACCTAATTGGTCCATTAGTATAGATTTCTGCCATCATTTTTTCTCTTCCACTGACAGACCCGTAGTCAGCAACTTTCCAGAGAGTGTAGTTCTTTATCACATGGCATTCTCCAAAAGTGACACAAGTTCCACACTGGTTAAACTTCTTACACTCTACAAAATGAAAGCAAGATTTATCACTACAAGAGAATGTTTTTTCTTCAGGTGAATTAACAATATGACACTAAGCTTTTTCTTCTTCACTAATTTGAGGTAGATACTGGAATAACTATTAATACATAGTCTGGTGAACTAAATTTCTCTGGAAACCACATTTCAAGTTCCTACAATCACTAGTTACTGTTCTTTACTTCATGGGCATAACTGCTTTGACAAAATGTATGACTGGAATAGTTTCTGTATTTATAGAGAAGCACATCTGAAACATGACCACACAGAGGTTACACATCTCCTTTGTTCAACCCAAGGTGACACTTGTAAGTATCATTTCAGTATATTAGAGATTGTGTGTCACAGACTTCAGAGATAAAGTTAGAACCGTTCAGCTGTGCAAACTTGTTTGGGCATGATTTACTGCTATGGTGTCTGGCTAGAGTGAAAAGGCACCCACAGGCCTGCAAAGAAAGCCCATTCTGTCACTCAGACAGCTGGTACTACACTGAAAGGCAGGAACCAGTACACTGAAAACCTAATCAATGATCTCTTTTTATAATATTAAGATCTGCTAAAACTGGGATGAAGCCTTACAGCAAAGCAAATAGACATCATACTTTGATCCTTAGCTTGGTAGTTGTTGCAGGTCTCATCTGGAATGCCATGGTCATGGGCATACATCCAAACACCAGAGTGGTCTCCACCTTCACAGGATCCAGCATCAGCACAGTCAATCACATTCTGAACAGAGAGGTAGGCAGAAGGCCATGCACCTTTCCTCTTTATGTTGATTCGATCTGCAAGGACAAGAAATTGGGGTTTGTTAGTGGAATAGGCGAGTGGCTACACACCACAACTAGTGTTAAGACTCTCTCTCCTTTGGTGAGGCTTTAACTCAGGCTTTTGGTGAGGCAGCAGCACCAGTGGCTGGAAAAGCCTCTGCTGTCAGTGAGGCACAAAGCCTGACCCAGCTCAAACCCACAGGCTGAGTTGTTATTGTGGGTTACCATTAGCAGGTTTTTCCTATTAAAAACTCAGCAAAAATATGCAGATGAGCAAGATCTTGTTTA